TTATTTTTTAAAGATTTTAATTAAAACCAGATATTTATTTGATGGCGGTCCCGTTGTCTTTATGTTTCTGTATTTGCTGCAGTGTCACATACAGTCGTGCTCTTCAACACATGCATTTGGATTCAGGTTAAGGCAATAGAAATGTTTTAGTGACATTTTAGCAAGGCCAGGCATCCTTGTTGATGATCTGGGAGAGTCACCCTATGCCCTGTTGTCCCCTTCCCTGAGGTTGAATAGCTGCTAGATAGAGAGAATGGGATGGTTCAGAATCCAGAATTAGAAAGACCTGGGGGACTTCAGAAAACCTGATAATTCCTTCTTTCCTTAAGCAGATGGGAATATTAGTAACAAAAACATCTAACTTTAAGTGGGCTCTAGCTAATCTTTCTAACAACCCTGAGAGGCGGTTTGGTCATCTCCCACTTGACAGACTAGCAACTGAGATTCCCAGGGGCTAATTGAGTCCAAAGCCACCCAGCTAGTAAGGTGTAGACTGTGGATTTAAATAGTGTCCATCTAGCCTCCAAATGATGTTCTTTCTTCTATACATTGTTGCCTCATTTCTATACCTGACCACATGAATCCACTTGAAAATGGGCCATGTCCTTGTGGGAAAGGGTTACAGCAAAGCAGCAATAATATGATAATTTTTGTATAACAGTTATGTGTGTATATATATACTCACAGACACACAAACACATATAGGTATATATGTATATATAGCAACACATACCTGTGTATGTGTGTGTCTTCGCACAGGTACCCATTCACATCTGGAAACTTGTTGATCTCAGTATTAAAGGTGATTTACCTTTGGCTGATGGCTTTTTTACAACCTTATATTCTGGGGTGTTATTTGAATGACTTTACCAAAATGCATCATTTTTAAAAATCCAAGCAGAACTCGGATCTCAGTGAGCAGTAGTTTGTGGCTGTTTCTGGGAGGGGTGGGGGGTGGGGGCGATGGGGTGGGTGCAGCTGCTGTCAGGTGGTCTTTTTCCTGCTTTGCAGCTGACCTGCTGCTGCGTGGGATTATCGGTGCTCTTGAGTAATTGGCCCCTTGCTGCTTTGAGGATACCTGGTCCCTTCTCTTCCCAAATTTTACCTGTTAACTCACTCACCCTTGGGAGCCACGGGCTCAGCCATCCTAGCGCCTCCGAGACAGTTCTCGCTTTCTGTGTAGACACGTCTGCCCCAGAGAGCAGAGAGCGAAGGCCCGAAAGCCACATACAGCTGGCCTGCCTTCTTATTTTTCCTAATCTGGCTTGTGACCAGTGGCCAGGAAACAAGGCCCGTGTTCTCCTTGGGGTCTGGACCAGAATCCAGTGACATGGGTCCTATTTTACTCTGTCCTTGGTGGAGACCTCATTTTCTCTCTCCTCTGTAGCAATTCCCAGTCCTAGAGTTAAAATCAAGCCCCTCGTGTCAGCATGTCTGTGGTTCCCTCTAGCCAGATCTTCATTCCTGACTCTTTGTGGGAAGGCATGACCAAAGGCTTGCATTTTTTGAGTAATCCGAACCAGAAACTTCCCAGGCCACCCTGCCTGTACCCTCAGCCATGGCAGCGGTGGTGGAAACCACAGCCCTGCGCAGATCACAGGAACTAGGAGTGAAGCTTACTCAGCCAGCCCCCTGGTTGACTGCCGGAACGTTTGTTCCCTCTGTGGGGCCTGCCCCTGTCAAGTCTGTGGTTTATCTTTATTTTTTGGTAACAAGAGTAGTGACGTATCCAGCTTCAGGGAAGTGAGTGGCTCAGAGTTACCCTGCAAACCGCAGCCAAGGTCAGCTCCCCACCTCCCAGCTACTGGACGGCCCAGAGCTGGTCTGTGGCCTGGAGATGCGATCTCTTACAGGAATGGTCCATCCTACCGAGCATCTATTAAACACCTACTGTGTTTGTGTACCAGGCCCCGTGCCAGGTGAGGACTGGGCAGTCTCCCTCACCTTCCCAGCTCTCTGAAGTGGGTTTGGTGAGCTGAAGCCACCTTGGACGGCCACAGGAGCCCACCAGGCCAGACCTCTTTCTGGGGCACCGGTGCTCCACCCCTGGGCCCAGAGACGCTTCTTCCCGTTAGCCTGCTCTGCCACTTTGGCTGGAGTCGCCTTCTTGGGAGTAAGGGTTTGTGAGGCTGGTGAAGGTGGCCCCATCCCAGAAGAGCTGACTAGTTGGAATAGTTGTAGATGTGACTGTGTTCCAAGACAGCCAGATGCTTTCAGAGGGCCCTGGCGGGGGGACCTAGGTTTACATTCTGGCTTGGCCACTTTCCTCCTCTAGGAAATGCAGCCCGTGGGACGCGTCTCTATACTGAGTGTCAGCGCTGGGAGTGATTGAGGCAGGCTCGCTCCACTCAGCACTCTTGATTGACATTGGGGGCC